AAAAATACAAACACGTTACAAAAATGATACATATATTGGTATGACTGTTCCGAAACAAGTCCATGCAACCGCAAGAATTCAGGTCAGCAAGACGAGCGCGGCTGGAGCGGAGCGGCACATTTTTCTGCCGCATGCCGCATCAGCTACTTTGGTAAAATAATTTTTCTTACATTAATTATCAAATCAGGTTGAGTTAGAACTGAGGCTTTATATAATAAAAAAAAATGGGTGCGTGTACTTATGTAGGCGCGTGAGAAGTTATCCTTCTTTGGCATCGTTTAAAATTAGTTTTTCATTGCATGCAAATAATTAATTACAATAAATTAATAAAAAGTCTGGAAAAGGACACAGTCAATAAAGTTCAATTTTAATTTGAAAAAATAAATAAATAATCAAAATATTCAATTAAAATCGCTACTGAATATAATTTATTAGAACATATGTGATTTGCACTTGTATGAAACTCAAACACGTATTCCGAATATACAAACTAGAAACATGTGGATAAATATTATAAATATGAATACCTATAACTGTTACTTTATTACAAAAAATAAAGATGTGGTTTTTGGTTCTACTACACCAATGGTCAAGAGATGGCGCTGTAGTCTCCTGAATCGCGCTTTGGTTCCGTTGTTCCAGATTAATAAATACTTTTGATATTATAAATATGAATACCTATAACTGTTACTTTATTACAAAAAATAAAGATGTGGTTTTTGGTTCTACTACACCAATGGTCAAGAGATGGCGCTGTAGTCTCCTGAATCGCGCTTTGGTTCCGTTGTTCCAGATTAATAAATACTTTTGATAGGCTTTCACAATGCAGTCGTTAGCACCCACTAAATAGAGATTCTATTTTGTTGGTAGATTTTCTTAATGTGCGGTCAACACAAAAGTAACGCATGAAGTTGGTCGCTAAAGCGACCAACTTCATGCTGTTAATTTTTGTGTTACAGTGATGCGCGCGCATCTTACAATTTCACTCTCATCATTTTTTCATAACGCGCCTAAAGAAGTATAACTTCAAAAAACCGGTCAGTCTGATTCCCGCACTGAGGGTTCTGAACAAACTTTTACCGTTGTTTTGTGTAAATAGTTCGTTCATTCAATTTTAATTTATGAAAACGACAGTTCGTTCATCAGGCGGATCGAGCCTATTTTATTTTTTATTTTCTTCAATTCTCGTATTATAAGGCATTGCTTGTTGCCAAATTCAAGATTCTAGGTTAACGAAAAGCATTATACAGGATGATCCAATTAGTGACGTCAACAATTTTTTTTAGATTCCACCTGGGGGTGTCCGAAAATACCCCATGTATGTTCCGCGATTTTTCTTAGTTTTCGAGTTATATTTTTTTTTGCCAGCGAGGTTTCAAAAATTGATATCTTTTTTCGTAGTAGATATTTTGCAGTCTTTTTTTGTGACATAATTGTCTTGAATGTTGTTTTGATAAAAAAAATAAATCAACTTCCTGAAATTAACTAAGTACTTAAAGTTACTTAAAAAGGCCTGAACGTTGGAACTTTAGTTTTTAGTAGGAATTACTCAAACATTCAACTTCAATTTAAAAATACAAAAAGGAGTTTCCATAGCCTCTGGCTAAAATTAAAAACTTTGCATGCTTCTAAACTACCGGAAATCATAAAAAAAAAAATGTATTTATCAGCCTATTTTTGTTGTAATTGGCCTTCGAAGGCGGATAGGCTAAAAATCATTGAAAGACGATTAAATCATTAAAAAATATTTTTTTGTCATTGTTTTGGTACATTAAACTTAAAAATGTAATTTCAAAATAAATTTAATTCAAAATTCCTGTAAAATAACTTTAGCATGTGTAATTTTACAATAATTTCGGTTTCACCACTAAGATTTTGAGAACAATTGTATCTCTAAGGTAGTCCACTGGTTCAATGTTAACAATTTATTACTTAATGAAGGAAAAACGAAATGTATGAAATTTGTATTACCTAATGTAAAACAGGTAAAAACCAGTGTGAATGTAAAGGATAGGAATGTGGGCCTTGTAGACACCACAGTATTCTTAGGGATAACTTTAGATTCTAAGCTTCAATGGGGCCACATATTGATAAATTGTCAAATAGACTTAGCTCTGCAGCATATGTCGTAATGAAGATACGCCAGTTAACGGATGTAGATACGGCCAGATTAGTGTACTTTAGTTATTTCCATAGTGTAATGTCGTACGGAATTTTATTGTGGGGAAATGCCGCCGACATTCAAACTATTTTTGTGCTGCAGAAGAGAGCTATTCGATCAATTTATAATCTTAAAGTTAAAGAATTACAAAGAGATAAGTTTAAGGAATTTGGAATAATGACGGTCGCATCACAATACATATACGAAAATTTATTACTTGTAAGAAAAAATATTAATTTGTTTCTTAAAAACAGTGATGTTCACACAATTAATACAAGAAACAAAAATAAACTAACTTTACCTGCTACTAGGCTTCACAAAATTAATAATTCATTTAAAGGTCTTTGTGTTCGCTTATACAATAAAGTCCCAAGCAATATCCAAGAGTTAGCCATAAATAAATTTAAAGATATTATAAAAAAAACACTTATTAAAAAAGCTTATTACAAAGTGTCTGATTATATTACAGACAAAAATGCTTGGGTTTGAACTGTTCCAATCATTCCAACAGGTTTTCTATATTAAATAAATCATAATTGTATTGACGTTGTAACAACATAATGAATTGTAAATGTTGTTACATTAGACTTTTAATGTTGTGGAGTTTTTTTCGCTTGTTTTTCTCCGCAGCTAAAAAATATGTCCATAACGAGTGGTAGGGATAAAAATTTTTGGACGATTCAAAAGAGTTGTACTATACATCCAATTTGAATAAAGATATATTGATTTCTGATTTCTGATTTAAAATGTGAGCAAGAATAAAGATCAAAATGGCTAGTTGGGAAATTAACTGTTTTTTGATACAAATAAAAAGCACAAATTACAGAAAAATTACTATCTATTACAGTAAATTTTCAAAACTCCTTCCTCCAACCTGAATACACAATTGACAACGTCTGAAAAAATGGTTGATGTTTTAATTGTCTGAAGCTACTCTAATATTCTTGCTTTATTTTTCTTTCCGCTTCTGTAAGTTTTTGTCTCAATTCTTGTTCGCATTTTAAATCTTAATGGTGAAACCGAAATTATTAGAAAATTCCACATGCAAAAGTTATTTTACAGGAATTTCAATTAAATTTAATTTGAAATTATATTTTTAAGTTTAATTTACCATAACAATGACAGAAGTAGATAAAATATTTTTTAATGCTTTAGTCGTGTTTCAATGATTTTTAGCCTGTCCGCCTTCGAAGGACAATTACAACATAAATAGGCTGATTAAGTACATTTTTTTAAATTAAATAATGCTAAAGTTATTTTACAGGAATGACAAATAGCTTTTGAGTGACATGAACAAAACACGGCGTAACTAGACTTAGCTTATTCCATGTTTATTAATAAGGGGGTTATGGTTGTTTTAACCTCCATGGTGTTAGTGGATTTCACGACGGGTTTTAAGGTGTCGCCAACTCAGTGCTCCTGAGTTCGAATCCTGGTGGGGCAAATAATATCAAAGTTATTAGATAATAATCAGTCCACTTATGCCTATAATGTCCTGCGCGTACAATATATTAATGCCCTTCAGGATGTTGTTCGGGCTGCCGTTGCGATGTTCCTGGAATAGCACCCTAAAAATGATTGCTGTTAGAATGGACTGTCCCATACAGAGATATTGGGTACAAATAGCCATGGTACTTCAAAGATAATAAAAATTAAATTGACCTGTATTAAATTAAATTGACATACATACACATAATATACGACAATAGTGTGTGAATATAATCAATATGTAATGGAAGATAATTTATAATTTTAAAAATAATTTATTTATATACTAATAATATTAACCTAGGATAAGCCCGACATTGTCACTAACTTGTTATACTAATTATATGGATGATTATCTGAAATAAATGATAATATTACGAGGAGCTCGATGGCGCGGATGACCAAAATTTTACTATCTCGTGCTCTTCCTTGCGTCGGAAGGCACGCTAAGCCGTTGGTCCGGCTGCATCTGCAGTCGTTAGCACCCACCAATCCCTACTGGGCGGGCGTGGTAGTCACGGCCCAATCTCCATCCATAAGAAAGGCCTTTTTTTGTGTCTGGAAAATGCCTTACGCATCCTTCAACCACTGGGGGAGCGAGAAGAATGTATGTGGGACTCCTCCCTGTCCTCTTCAGCCGGCCCTGGGGCTCGCTGATGTGAACAGGGCCCTACCTACGCCCTGAACAGGGCCACTAAAAACCAGACAATATTCCTGCACCTTCACCCGATACGCACTATGAGGACCGCGGTCCCCCTAGTGCATGCCGAGAGGGCGGGTGTGGTCGCGGAACCCGTCTCCGAATGGCCGCGCAAAATCCATAAGAAAGGCCTGTGCTCCCGCAGTGAGGACATTAATAGGCTGATGTTGACGATCTGTTCAACTCAACTCAACTCAACTCAAACTCATTTATTCAGTCTAGGCTGTTACAAGCTCTTGTGAAAGTCAAACGCTACGCCATCGGTTCGTAAATCTACGGCGGGAGACCTTGTACCGAGAAGAACCGGCAAGAAACTCAGCAAGGGCTATTTTTTTCTCCCTGTTTTGTTTCATACAGTGTCGTCAATTGAAAGATGACATCAAAACTAAAAACATGTGTTGATGTCATATTTCATCACATTAATATTATTAATTAACAATAAGTTAAGTATAACTAACAATTTTCAACCAAATTAGTAAAGTAAAACGACTTAGTCTATTATATTAAGCCCAAGGTGCCTTATCATTTATAAAATCTTTAACTGTATAGTAACCTTTCTTAAGGAGACTAGTTTTTATACGCACTTTAAACTTATTAAAAGGGAAAGGTGTTGTTTGAGTATCTAGTTGAAGACGTTGTTTTGTTGCGTAGGAGAGTGGCGGCTCGAGTGTGGCCGCGGCGCAGGCGGAGGCGTGCAGCGGCGCGTGGGACGCCGACACGCGCGCGCATTACTACCACACCCAGCTGCTGGCTACACTACAAGTGGTAACTCATATACGTAGCTATGAATACTGATAGCGACCATCCTATCGGCTCGAGTGTGGCCGCGGCGCAGGCGCAGGCGCAGGCGCAGGCGGAGCTGCTGGCCACACTACAAGTGGTAACTCATATACGTAGCTATGAATACTGATAGCGACCTTCCTATCGGCTCGAGTGTGGCCGCGGCGCAGGCGCAGGCGCAGGCGGAGCTGCTGGCCACACTACAAGTGGTAACTTATATACGTAGCTATGAATACTGATAGCGACCTTGACAGTTAATGTCGATACATCGCTTTATCATATCCCGTTTCGGTAGTCATGCTAGAGGGGCAGGAGTCCTGACAGACCGAGGGTGACCACTTCTTGACCTGTCATCTAGAGTCTTCATTGTATCGTTTCATGGTACGATAAACGAATCTTATGGTTATATTCAAATTTTTCAGTATGTCAAAAATTTGAATTGGCGCGTAACCGCAACGATGCAACGCAATAACTGCAACATGGTCTTCTTTAAGCGTCCACTCCATATTTAAAAATGAGTAAAATTCTAAAAAGTATACATTTATAATTTCATGAACAATATTCAATAAACTTTTTTGTGGCCAGCATTCGAAAAGAAAAGTTTTTACTGTGTGACAATACTTATGACCTGACTGTGTATATACGTAGCTATGAATACTGATAGCGATCTGCCTATTTAGTATAAGAAATGTAGTTATGAAAAATAATGATAAAGTTTTTCAGTTAATATAATTTAAATGAGAAAGTTTCGTTATGTTGTTAAAATCATGCAAAACGGATTTATCGATTTGCATTATTTTGCATGTTTAAATCACGACATAGGACAGAAATTACGACATTGCTGTGAGATTATAAAAAAAAAGAGAAAAACTCTAACACTCCGTTACCATTCTGGTGGACAATAAGATTTTTTATTTTAATTCCTATTAGAACTTCTAACCAGTAAAGGATACATCGATTTTTCGTCCAAGTAGAAACATTCTTTTTACCCGGCTGCGCAATGCAAGAGCGCGAAGCGCGACGCGCAGACAGGGTTATGTGTTTAACAGTCTATATATGTATGTTTGTTCCTTTTTACCCGGCTGCGCAATGCAAGAGCGCGAAGCGCGACGCGCAGACAGGGTTATGTGTTTAACAGTCTATATATGTATGTTTGTTCCTTTGTGGCACACTAGAGACCAAACGCCTGAACCGATTTTTTACCCGGCTGCGCAATGCAAGAGCGCGAAGCGCGACGCGCAGACAGGGTTATGTGTTTAACAGTCTATATATGTATGTTTGTTCCTTTGTGGCACACTAGAGACCAAACGCCTGAACCGATTTTGATGATTCATACATCAATCGATTCGTCTCAATCATGGGAGTGCTACTAAAGATATGATAGTAATCAAAATTCAATATGGCCAAAATTAGGCGCCATATTGTGACGAAGTAAAAAAAATAAGTCGACAAAATATGTCGAGTGGGGTATCACTGTCTAGATAATCAAAAATCATATTTAGGTTCCTAACACCATTTTTCATTTAATATGATTGTTTAGGATCTACAACGCTTTAAAGTTGTATATTAACCACTTACGCTTTTAATTTCAATCTTACATTTGTATAGATCTTTGTTACTCTTTCACCTAAAAAATACTGAATGGATTTTAATGAAACTTAACAGTAATATAGCTCATATATGATAATTACATATATATAATAATTTATGTAGTTATTGACCAATCCAATTCACGGACAATATATAACAATAAGTGTCACATAAGACGGAAAAAAATCTCCATCTGCGAGCCATTTTGGCCTGCACCGCGAAAACAATAAAAGTTACATGAATGTAATGTAGAGTGAAAATATATCTCTTAAATAGTTCTAAAAAAAAGTCCGTGACACCATATATCTATTTTTAATGTGTAAGTCATTACCGCTAAAATAGTGAATCAAAACTATAATATTATTTGATATCTATTTCCAAAATGCACATTTTGTATTAACAAATCATTTTTTATCAAAACAAATACTTTTATCGCTTTTGATATTTAAAGACGATAAACTTTGCTTTTTACACTATGTCATTTCGACAAATATTTAAAAAGTTACAACGATGACAAAAAAGTGATAGCGCGGTGTACTATGTAAAAGAAAAAAATGGGCTATTCGCAGTATCTGATCCTATACGAAGCACTAACAATAAAACTGTGATACAGTTCCTTCATATTAAATGATGAAAAATATATTATCATAACAGGTATTTATGGTTATTGAATTTTATTAAAAAACTCTGAATTTTACTGTTTTTCATTTTTTTAACGATATTACTTAATGTTACAAAAAAGGTTTACTTAATATAATGACAAATAACCCATTTCTCGCGAGTAAGTACATACTTATTGGAATCCCTAATAATCCTTATTAATCAGCTCGCGATAATATTGGTTTTGTAATAATTCTACAAAATTCAAAGTAAATAATGTAGATTTTTATAGGTAAATAACCCCTTTCATCTCCCTACGCCAATAAGTATTGCAATGTTGTAGCTAAGAACCAAGTTCCCATCTACTTCTATATGGGAATTCATTATATTCGATTTAGCTATTAGGGCATGGAAGCGCAACAAACAAACTCACTTTCACATCTATAATATTATATTATACTTACTTGTGATCCACCCGGGCATTGTAGGGGCGAAATTTATTTATCGGGATGAAATATAGCCTATGTCACTCGGACAAAATGTATTTAAATAAATAAAAATGTAATAATAAATAATGTAGCTACCTTATGATGAATTAATATTTGAAACCGGTTCAGTAGTTTGACAGATTATTTGTTACAAACATACAAATCTTGCCTCTTTATAATATTAGTATAGATAGTTAGGATATGATAAGTATTTAATTGATGAAAAAGATTTAAAAATAAAGTAAGTAATAGGTTTATTTGATTATATTTGTAAAAGTTACTTAGCATTTGTGCTTAACAGTGATACGTGATTCGGTATTTTTTTAAACAAAAAAAAATTGGAAAATAATTGCCATGATTGCCCTACTGGGAGTGCTCTTCATTCAAGCTTTACACTACCAATAAAAAAGGGTCGATCACAAAGTCTTTGACCTGTTTATATGTGAACGCTTTAAAAGAAAACTACAAAGAGAACTATAAATTGATAATAAATGAGATTGCTATGGTGCTCTACCTAACGTTATGAAAATTTTATTATGCGCCTTTAGTTTAATCAAATATTATAAACTTTGCTTTGGTGATTGCATAATTATTTAATTTAGTGATCTAAGGCAGTTGCCACCATTGTCCAAAACAACAAACGGGAATTACTGCTTTCTTCAACCTGCGACCTAAACGTCATTGATTGGTATCGTCATCTACATATTGGGTTTCTGTGAATTATGTAGGTATATCAAATTATGAGACTAGGGACTGACACTGCATTTGTGTATATCACAATCTTAGACGTCCGGCATTGACATGACAATGCAGCCACTGCCAATTTTAAATAGTCGATGAATAAAAGTAAATGAATTTTATATTTACTGCTAAACTATTAAAAAAAACATAAACAAAAGATGACTTTTTGAGTAAGTGCTAGTTTACTATAAAATTTACATACATTAGAGATAGTTATGTAACGACTTGATTTAACTTCACACATTTTTGCGAAAATTGAGGCCCATCTGTAGCCTTGACCCCGCTGGTAAAGTCTCTATATGTCTTAATAAATCAATCTTTTAGACCGACGCAAGGTACTTAATAATTCCCGCGATATTAATTCCCTTACTGAAGTAACAACACTACGGTATATACCGTCTTAAAATACTAACTAACTAAAAAGTGTGAAATAAAAAAGGTAAATTTAAAAAATCAAAAAACCCGACTGCTTAATTATACTTCAAATAAAAACTGAAAAGAAAAAAACAAGTCCAGTAGTCTATAATTCTGTTAATCAGGAACAAAGCTACTTTAACAGTCGGGACCCACTGTTGAAAAATATTATGTATTCTTGAATATCTAATGGGTCCCGACTGTTAAAGTAGCTTTGTTCCTTATTAACAGAATTATAGACTACTGGACTTGTATTTTTCTTTTCAGTTTTTATTTGAAGTATAATTAAGCAGTCGGGTTTTTTGATTTTTTAAATTTTTTATTGCGAAAACTTCTTGAATAGTTGAAATTTTGAATTTAATCGCATTAAATAAAACTAGTTTTTACGGGTTTATGCACGAAACTTTATTTATTTATTGACGTTACGTTACATTTACGGTAGCTAGGGTCAAATAAATAAACACAAAATTACAAAAAAAAATTTAAACAAAATGCTTATTAAGTAAATTAAATAATAAATTCATACATAGACAATAAAACTTTCAAAATCGAACAATGAAATAACCGAACGCTCAATAAAAGTTTTTCGAAGGTAGCTCGACAAATTAAATAAAAGTTTGATTCTGACGACGTAGCCTGTAAAGGCTACGAAACGTCAATAAATAAATAAAGTTTCGTGCATTAACCCGTAAAAAACTAGTTTTATTTAATCGCATTATTGGCTTATTGGAATTATTTGATTAAACATTTTATCGTGTCATCTCCTCAACAGCTACAGAACAAGGAGGAGACGGTGCGCGTCCAGGGCGACAGCTTGCGCGTGGCCGAGGCGCGCATCGCCAGCCTCAGCGCTCGCGTCGACTCCCTGCGTGCGCAACTAGGCGACAAGGCGGCAGAGGTATGTATACCCCGCCTTATGCCTGCCTTTTAAAATGTTTAACAGTCTCGTCCCCCACGACAACGGCTAACTAGAGCCGAGGTCGGAGTCTCAGAGACGCCCTCTAGTTGAGCCGACCCCCTCAGGTTCGAGTGGTCTAGAGGCTCCAGACGGAGAGGAGACTCACCCCGTGGGGAGATGCCATCCGCCTGGAATACCTCTAGTGGCACTCGCCAATTCTCGGCTTGAGGTCCCCTTAGGATCTCGCCGTCCGCAAACCCGGTGACGCTATAAAGTTTATCTGCGACCAACAACATACACACTCAAAAAAAACGAGTATGCTTATGACCACACGACTGAAGTAAAGCTTCTTTAGCTCCATCTGTATGTATATACAGGGTGGTCCAACTAGCGACGTCAACAATTTTTTTTTAGATTTCTCGCACTGAGGGTATCCGAAAATACCCCATGTATGTTCCGCGATTTTTCTTAGTTTTCGAGTTATATTTTTTTTTGTGTATTTTTAATGATTTCTGCCAGCGAGGTTTCAAAAATTCTTATCTTTTTTTGTAGTAGGTATGTTGCAGTCTTTTTTTTTGTGACATAATTGTCTTAAATGTTGTTTTAATAAAAAATTGTGTGTGTCAGCTCCGACGCACAACCGGAGTTTACACTCTAAAAACGATTGTCTTTGAACAGACACAAAACAAAATCAAGTCCGACGAAGTCGGTTACAAGTAGAGATATCTCAGGAATCGTCCCATGGTTTCGACTATCATAGGTTCCATGTTCAAATACATAATAAAATATATGATGTTCATCATATATTTTATTATGTATTTCTGGAAACACACAATTTCAAAAATATCACACACTAGTCATCATTTTGTAAATATGTATAATAATTCCATCTGTACTGAAAATCACTATTCCAGAGTGCTGGGCACTTACCGGCATTTCTCTATATTCTGTTATTTATTTGTTTTCATTAATTATGCTCCGATTTTATCTATTTTTATTTTATTTATTTTATTGACATTTATGACAACTTAATGTTTTTTATCCGTTGCCATGGTTAAAAGTGAAAGGTGCGCAGATGAGGTTGCGCACAAAAACGTAACGAGGTCATTAATGTCATTCATCGATAGATTTTACTCCTCACATTTTTCTCATACCGGGCCCCTTATATATGCAAATCGATTCTTAAGGAGTAAACTCCAAAAACTAACTCAGTTCCTGCAATTATATAAAGTTACTCAAAAAAGGCTTGAAAGTGGGAACTTTAGTTTTTAGTAGGATTTACTTAAACATTCAACTTCAATTTAGAAGTATAAAAAGGAGTTTCCATAGGTTCTCGCTTTTTGTCTCAATTCTTGTTCGCATTTTAAATCTTAGTGGTGAAACCGAAATTATTGTAAAATTACACATGCTAAAGTTATTTTACAGGAATTTCAATTAAATTTAATTTGAAATTACATTTTTAAGTTTTTACCATAACAATGATAAAAAGTAGATAAAATATTTTTTAATGCTTTAATCATGTTTCAATGATTTTTAGCTTATCCGCCTTCAAAAGCCAATTACAACAAAAATAGGCTGATTAAGTACAATTTTTTTTTATGATATTTGGTAGTTTAGAAGCATGCGGAGTTTTTGATTTTAGCCAAAAGCTATGGAAACTCCTTTATGTATTTTTGTATTGAAGTTGAACGTTTGAGTAAATCTTACTAAAAACTAAAGAGCCAACTTTCAAGGCTTTTTTGAGTAACTTTAAGTAATTGCAGGAAGTTGAGTTATTTTTTTATTAAAACACAAAATAAAAATAGATAAAATCGGAGCAAAATTAATGAAAACAAATAAATAACAGAATATAGAGAAATGCCGGTAAGTGCCCAGCACTCTGGAATAGTGATTTTCAGTACAGATGGAATTATTATACATATTTACAAAATGATGACTAGTGTGTGATATTTTTGAAATTGTGTGTTTCCAGAAATACATAATAAAATATATGATGAACATCATATATTTTATTATGTATTTGAACATGGAACCTATGATAGTCGAAACCATGGGACGATTCCTGAGGTATCTCTACTTGTAACCGACTTCTTCGGACTTGATTTTGTTTTGTGTCTGTTCAAAGACAATCGTTTTTAGAGTGTAAACTCCGGTTGTGCGTCGGAGCTGACACACACAATTTTTTATTAAAACAACATTTAAGACAATTATGTCACAAAAAAAGTCTGCAAAATACCTACTACGAAAAAAGATAAGAATTTTTGAAACCTCGCTGGCAGAAATCATTAAAAATACACAAAAAAAATATTACTCGAAAACTAAGAAAAATCGCGGAACAAACATGGGCTATTTTGGGATACCCCCAGGTGCGAGGAATCTAAAAAAAATTGTTGACGTCACTAGTTGGACCACCCTGTATATATGTGTGTATAATATACACATGTATATACATATACATATGTATTTCATTAACTAGCTATAAGAGAAAGAGAGAAAGAAAATGTGTGCCCGCACTGATTTCTCTTGCTTATATCCCCCTCACCCGAACACACTTTTCGTAACGCGTAACGCATTCGCTAGCTTACCCCCCAAGTTAAGCGTGCGTAAAGAAGTTTCACTTCAAAAAAATATTTATTAGATACTCAAAGACCGCGGCAAACTTCTTAAGCATCGACCATAGACAAGGCAGCCTGCGCACTAGCAATTTTACATACAATAACGTCTACTGCCCAAGTTTATTTGCCTGTGGGTTTGCTCAAAAGTTTGCCGCTACATGCCGTTACCTCTATATAGAGATATTCAAACTTTATGGCAGTCGTGAAGTCAGTAATGTTTATCAACCGACTTCAATAAGGAAGAGGCTCTCAATTCGACTGTAGTTTTTTTTTGTTTGTTTAAATATAAACTTATTTTATTTAGCACATAAAGATTTATCAGCTATAACAAGTGGCTACGGAATGGATGGTGGATCACGGAACATACTCGTACAAGAGATGAAATAGACATTGATTCGCAATAAACATAATTGCTTAAATATATTTTAAACAGTTAATTTATAATCCATGCTAACATGTTTCAACGATGTATCTGTCTGATATCTCTTCACGCTCATACCGCTGAAACGATTTAACGATTTAGATGAAATTTGCTATAGACATGGTTTGAGGTCCGGGAAAGGGCATAGGGTAGTTTTTATCCCAGATATTATCCTTAAAGGGGGTTAAGAGGTGGTGGAAGTTTATAGAGATAACCAGTTTTTCCACACAGAAAAAGTAGATCATAATAATGACTGACAAAATGAGTTACGAAATAGTCAAAGAGTTCAATTCATTCTAAACTCGTCAATTCAATACAATAGGTACTTACGCTTCTTATAGCGAGTATACTTTCGTCTTTAATGTTTAGTTACACTTAATATAAATAACAGTATTTGTATTTATACTGTATAACATAGCGATCAAAATGCAGGTAAACGATTAATATATATTTAATCATTATGTAATGATAGGCGACTTCATGAATTATCTCTGAAGTCATTTTCTAAGTTGACGACTTTGTAAATCATGAAACAGGAAGAAAAAAACAGCCCTAGCTGAGGTTCTTCTCAGTACAAGGTCTCCCGACGTAGATTAACGAACCGATGTTGTAGCTTCTAGACATTCATGAGTGCTTGTAACAGCCTAAACCGAATAAATGATTTTGATTATGATTATTGATTATCTCAATCTGTGCATTCATAGTTTATATTAACACGTCTTGTTTTAGCAAGATTTTGATTTAGGTATTTTTTAAAGAGTAGTTAAAAAACTCGGTTGCAGCTGCGGTGTTTGCGGCGGTCGGACAGATGCGCGGCGTCGAGGGCGGATGTCTCCGCGTCGACAGAAACGCAGGTCGGTTCTAAATAAACACACTAATATTATAAACGCGAATGTTTGTTACTATTATTTTAAGACGATTTGAATAAAATCTATATACATAAAACTCAAAGGTAACTGACATAGTAATCTATCAACGTACAGCCCAAAACACTGGACAGATCGGGCTGAAATTTGGCATGCAGGTAGATGTTATGACGTAGGCATCCGCTAAGAGAGCATTTTGATCAATTCTACCCCCAAGGGGAAAAAATAGGGAATGAAAGTTTGTATGAAACTTTGTCAATTTTAAACCGATCGGGCTGAGACTTTGCATGCAGGTATAAGAAGAATCATAGATGAATTTCATTGTGTATAATACAATCTTGAGAACAAAAACTGTAGTCTACACTTCAGCTCTACACCGAAGCGAAGCGAGGGCGGGCCGCTAGTTTAACATATAGGTTGTAGTTTATAGGGATGATAAAGGAAATTATAATTAATCCGTCATTTAGATTATCAGCAAATAATCTACACGTCTTATTTTTGTTTTGTCAATCAACGAAAAGATTGAAATGGTAAAGCGTAAAGTTTGGGAGTGAAGTCGATGGGCGTCTCGTGGCGTCAATTTTTAGTGGAAATGTAGTTACGAAAACGTGGCGTCACGCGACATTTCAGATCAATATTGGTATTTCTGTAATGTTTTGATTACGTCCATAAATAAAAAAAATTGGTGTCATATACTACCTGGCTACCTGATAGACGAAGAAAACAAAGTCATCATCCCTATAACCTAAGTTGACACCAACTGTGGGATTTCACAAAATAAAAATAAAGAAAATTTTACTAGAAAAAAAATCCGCAGACCAGGCAGCAGACGAGACTCGAACCCACACTCTTCGTTATCCGAGCGAATGCACTGACCATTATGCTACCGTGGCCCTGATGGCCGTCTCGAATTTTCTCTAGCCTTTCTTAAGCTGCAAGGCAGCTTTATCACTTCGCATTGTAGGTAACCCACAATGTCAAATGAATACCTTTACAAGTATTAAATATTAAAGAGGAGAAATAGCATTTATGAAATATTTTTGTAGTTTAAGCTGTTACTTAAAATAAAACGAATTTTAACGCGGACGCAGTCGCTAGCGGAAGCTAAAACGTGTCGGCGTTCCGCAGGGAACTATATTGGGCCCGCTACTATACGCATCTATCACTCGACCAACTCATTGATTTCGTTGTTGTTGAATATAAAAACTTTATGAGCGTAAGCTATTTAATGATTGTATTAAAAGATTTCTCCAGTAGTATTCCTATGGCTATGTTTATGTTAAGGTACACTTGTTTTGTACAGTTTTAATCAGGTCAATTGTTAATTAACGAGCTGATGAAACGGTTTTATTTAGTTGATATTGCGGTATCAAATAAAGTTACGTGGAACCGCATTTTCATGAAGCAACTAAGGCACATCCAGTTATTTAAATTGAAAGGTTTGATACTGAGTTGTGATTTATTTTCATTATTCATTATGGTTATTTAGCCTGACTTTTTTTATCTATCACAGAACGTTAAGTGGTCATTGCTTTGTGCTTATAGTATAGTATTGCCAATATCATCATTAGTACTGTCAAATCTGTGTGGATTATCTTTTCAATGTACATCTTTTATCATCATCATCGTATTTTGGCTTAAGTAATTAAACAAAAAAACATAGGCATTTGAATGCTTACTATAGACGTACAAATTATATAATGCGATTCAACTAAGAATAGGACCGACTGGGCGCCATATCCTGATGTCATAGCTGTCAATTCAAACCAAATAGGTAGAGTAAGCAAAAAAAAGTTTTTAATTAATAAAACTTATTTACTAAAAATATCTACTGATATTAATTATCAATATTTGTTATTGTTTGTTTACAAATGTTTTTTTTGTATTCTAGAATTAGCGGAGTGCTAAAAAAAGGGTACCAAGTTTTTTTTGCAGACCTTACTTTTTAAGCGACATATGACAGATAGAGGTCATTGGCTTTCCTATTCTTATTTGAATCGCATTATGTTTGTTGTTAATACTAGTAAAAATGACAAAAAAAAAAGATATTGATTTGAGATCCATATTGAAAAACAAAAATACTTTACCGAATTTCACAACAATAAAAGACAATGTTTTAGGAGTTGGAGAAACAGAAGATTGTGGTGCGCTCGCTGCAGACGAATCTGGCTATCATCGAGGACCTCTATCGGGAATGCTTTTATGAGGTCTGAAAAATAATTTCTAATCTTTAGATTACACTGTATGACCTTATTAGCTTTATTCCAAAACGCGGACTTAAGTTAGTCTAGGTTTATACCTTATGTTGTCTTCTTTTTAGCAAACAAAAGAGACAGTATTAGTTTTAATTCAAGTTTAACTTTAATCTGCGTTTTTTAATAAGGCGGTTTGTGATTTTGGACACCCGCTTTGTTTTTGGGGCATTCCACGCGAAGCGGACAGGTAAAAAAACTCGATGTTTCCGATTTCAGTAATATTTGAGTATGTTCTACTTTTACTTATTATTGATACGTGTACCAAATATTTTTGTGATATATTGACTAGTTAAAGAGTAATGTTACTTTGAAGTTTTCGACAACCGGTTGGCATGCAGTACTTCAAAGCCGATTATGGACTCATAAAATTATATATTAAAATAACTAAACCACTGGATTTCCTACTTTATTTACTGGGCTTTTTAACTGTGTTTTTGGAATAGAAAAATTTTTTTTTTTCGTAAAAAAAAACCAATTTAAGTTTTTTTCCTTGATTTTCACCAAGTTAGACCATTTAGTTTTTTTTTTTATTTTTTTTTATATAAATTGCTAATATTGTATAGAACATTGGTGCCAACTTTTATAATGGGCGTGAAAGTGGATTAGGAGCTAGACTGAATATACTGCCGAAGGGTGGCGTCCAGCGCCGCGCCTGTTGACCGCCGCTTGTGCGCGATTAGTCATCAAACTGTCAATCAAATAAAATCACTTTTGACGGAATGTTTGTAGATTTTTAATAAAACCAATACATAGAAAAAATTCCACGCGGACCAGGCAGCAGACGGGACTCGAACCCGCACCCTTCGCAATCCGGGCGAATGCACTGACCAATTATGCTACTGCGGCCCTCACGGACAGCGTCGAAATTCCTCTAGCCATTCTTAAGCTGCAAGGCAGCGCCATCTCCTCGCATTATAGGTAACCCACAATGTCAAATGAATACTTTTACAAGTATTAAACATTTGAAAGAAGAAATAGCAATTATAGTTATAATTTTTATTTCTTTAAAGCATGTAACTGCTTGATGTTTAAATCTAAAGAAAATATAACTACAAAAAATTCCACGCGGACCAGGCAGCAGACGGGACTCGAACCCGCACCCTTCGCAATCCGGGCGAATGCACTGACCAATTATGCTACTGCGGCCCTCACGGACAGCGTCGAAATTCCTCTAGCCATTCTTAAGCAGCAAGGCAGCGCCATCTCTTCGCATTATAGGTAATACACGCCGTTCATGAGGGCCGCGGTAGCATAATTGGTCAGTGCATTCGCCCGGATTGCGAAGGGTGCGGGTTCGAGTCCCGTCTGCTGCCTGGTCCGCGTGGAATTTTTTCTATGTATTGGTTTTATTAAAAATCTACAAACATTCCGTCAAAAGTGATTTTATTTGATTGACAGTTTGATGACTAATCGCGCACAAGCGGCGGTCAACAGGCGCGGCGCTGGACGCCACCCTTCGGCAGTATATTCAGTCTAGCTCCTAATCCACTTTCACGCCCATTATAAAAGTTGGCACCAATGTTCTATACAATATTAGCAATTTATATAAAAAAAAAAATAAAAAAATCTAAATGGTCTAACTTGGTGAAAATCAAGGAAAAAAACTTAAATTGTTTTTTTTTTACGAAAAAAAAAATTTTTTTTCTATTCCAAAAACACAGTTAAAAAGCCCAGTAAATAAAGTAGGAAATCCAGTGGTTTAGTTATTTTAATATATAATTTTATGAGTCCATAATCGGCTTTGAAGTACTGCATGCCAACCGGTTGTCGAAAACTTCAAAGTAACATTACTCTTTAACTAGTCAATATATCACAAAAATATTTGGTACACGTATCAATAATAAGTATAAGTACAACATACTCAAATATTACTGAAATCGGAAACATCGAGTTTTTTTACCTGTCCGCTTCGCGTGGAATGCCCCTTCAGGGGTAGAGGTAGAAGGCCTGCTATGCGGGTTCGATTCCCAGCCGAGGATGGATTTTTTCTAATAATTATTTAAAGTTTTACTTGCTTCGTGGTTGCATAAAAAATTATTACTTACAAGCTTTCCTTACAATTGTTGTATGAAAGTTATTCATTTCAAAAGTTTTGATAAAAAACACAGTTTGTGATAATTTTAACTGTTTTAAATTGAAATGAAATGAAATATATTTTATTGGAACAAAAACAGTGAATACAATAAATGTGTACGATAATAATTGCATTAGTTATAAAAACTGTGTCGCAGCTATTTACGCTCACCTCACCTCTCAATGTACTCTACATTGAAGTTCCTTAACATACAACAAACAAACAATAAATATTATGAATGATTTAAATTTAATTTAACGTACTTAGAAATTAAATGGTTTATGGGATAGTCTAGATAAACAGGGAAGGCTTGTAATAGATTTCAGTACCCTTAGCACGAACTAATACCATGTATGTGTACCTGGGTGGTGGTTGCAGACGGCGAAACAAGAGGAGTTGATAGAGAGCCTGCGACACGCATACCTCAACGCTCGGGACACTACTCACATACATCTGGTGAGATATTGCAACGAACATTTATTATAAATAATAATAAATTCTTTATTTATTTCTTCACATAAGTAGACAAAAGAAACATTTACAATAAAGTGCTTAATTACAATAATCATAATCATAATCATAATTCTACAAGACACCAGGCCTCCACTCCCAAAACTACACGAACAGAACAAGCCACCTTTGTACTATTTATGTGATTA